CCGCGGAGCGGTCGGAATACATCCAAGCCCAGGCCAGAGCAGAGGAGTCAAAGAGCAGGGATGCAAAGGGCATGTACTCCATGCCTGGCAACAGTCCCATACCTGTGAGACGCGCCAGAGTATCTGCAAGCTCGTTATATCCTTCCCCTTGGTGGCTGCGAACATGTTGTCCCTGGATGGTACAAGTAGTAGCCAGAAACTGGACCAGGGACCGAAGAAACATTAATCCAGAGTTAGTGACCTCAAAGGTTTGGGTGCCCATCAAAACTCCGAGCGTTCGCATAGAGTCGAGTCGGAGTACAACTGGTACTGACCCCAGGTTCGCCTGGGCAATCCATGTCAATGCCCATGCAGCAGCAAGAATCTCAGCAGTGTCAGAGTGGTAGGAAGACGGGAAGAGATCCATCACATCTTCTGGGACCAGATCAGAAATATATCCTCGAAGGGCCCTGGAACCGTCAAAATACTCATAGATAATCACCGCAGCCGACGCAGGAACAAACGGTATGTCAGATCCATCGGCTCCTCCAGTGCCATCGGTATAGACGAAGACACGGGTGGGGGGAAGGAGGGGGAGGAACGGCGCATGCTGCTGCAGCACCGCGGAAGTGGCAGGATGCAAGTAGGCTGACAAAGCCTCTTCACAGAGCTGATGCACTGAAAAAGGCCAGGGCTGGAGAAGCTACTTGACAGCAGCAGGCACATAATGAAAAGGAAAATCCCGGCTGCTCGCGGGCGGCCGCTGGTCAGAAGGGGCCTCTCTCATCGGGCGAAAGCTCAGCCCGACGGAGGCCCGCTCGGCGAGCAGCGGCCGCTAGGCGTTTCCCGACGCCACACCACGAGGAGCCGAGCGTGACTGAGAGCGATGGGCAGCTCGCCCACGGCTGGCTGCACGACTGGGCGAGCGCCTCGGCGATCGCGAGCCAGCCTCCGCGCGTCCCTCTCCTGCCGCGGGCTCCTCGGCGGCAGGCGCTGCTGGAGCCGCACGCGCTGCATCCACTCCCGCAGCCTCGGCAACTGTGCGGCCAGGCGGCCCGGGCTGCTGCCCGTGTGCACCTGGCGCTCCTCCCACGCCGTCCACAGGGGATGTTGCCGGCGTCCCGGCCGCCGCCTCTGGAGCCCCAGTCGGACCAGTAGAGAAGGTCACGTGGGCGGTCGGCACTGGGATGTTCTGGCCTCCTCCAGCAGACAACTGCATCTGGTGGATGAGAGACTGGAAGCCTTGCAGCTGGGCCATCATCGCCGAGATCTGCGTCTGGTGTGCAGCCAACGCTCCAATCGTGGACATGGGCATGCCAGCTGCGGCTGCACCAGCCGCACCTCCAGCTGTACCCGCGGGCGCCGCTCCTGCAGGAGGCGTCGCTGCAGGAGCTGGCTCGGCAGCCCTCTTGGCAGCCTCCTTGGCAGCCTCGTTCTCGGATTGGATCAGCATCTTCAGCTCGGCAATCGTCTTGGTCATGTGCTCGAGGTCGCGCTTGGCCAGGTCGACGTCCATGTTGGCCTGCTTCACCTGTGTCTGCAGGTCTTCCAGCACGTCGTTCGCCTTCTGCAGGCGCTTCTCGGCACGCTCGAAGGCCTCCTCCTGCTTCTGCAGCTGGGCCTTCACTCCTCTTGCACAGAACAACATTGTGAGCGTGGTCGCAAACTCGAGCACCGCATCGTCGTAGTCCTCGTCCGCGTCGTAGCGGTCGAGGATGATCGCATTCAGGGCCTCCAGTCTGGCTGAGGCCTTCTCCTTGTAGTTCTCGACCTCGACGTCCGTCGCCTGCGGCCCAGGTGGCGCCCTCCACCTGGGATGTCCGCGCGCCACCTGTGGCAACGCAGGACGGATGTGCAGGATATCCTTCGCCGAGCGGTACTCGTCGGAGGCCTTGTCGTCGTCGTCGTCCTTGTCCCTGTCCTTGGCAGGACCTCCCGCGGCTGTCGGCGGCGAGTCTCGTAGTGCATGAGGCTTGCCAGCAGACCTGTCCCTGCCTCTGCCCTTGCCCTTGCCCCGCGATCCTTCCTGCGACGGGGGGGCACTGCCAGATCGCCTCGGCTGGCGGCGCCATGGCGGGGCATCGGGCTTGGGCGTTCCACACTGGCGACAGTCCACACGCTCGTGCCAGTTCTTGCAGGAACAGGTAGCACAAGGCCAGGGAGAGGAAGGCGGCGCCCATGAGACGGACAGCGCTGCCTTGGTCATGTCGGCGAGTCGGCCCTGCTGGCGACTGTGATGTCGTTGTAGAAGACGTCGTGCCGCCTCCAAGCGGAGGAGGACACGAGCACGTGAGCGGACCGCTCGGGCACGCCTGTGCCACGCAGGCTCAGCGGCCCTGCCTGCGTGGCGATGGCGGCCAGCACGGCCACGGGGCAGCACAATGGCGGCTGCGAGCAAGTGGCGCGTATAGCAGCAGTCCCGGAGGTGAGGGGCTCGGCTACCTGGTAGCCTCCCAGGGCCCCTCGAGCCGGGACGGCGGCTGGAGGAGGAGGAGGAGGAGGAGGAGGAGGAGGAGAAGGAGGAGGGGGCCGTTTGGGCGCCTCTCGGAGCCTCTTTTGGGCCTCTTGGGGCCTCCTTGGAGCTTCTTGGGGCGGAAGGCTCGGGTTTTTGGTTCGGGCTCCCCGTCTTGGGCCCTTCTTGGGGCCCTCTTGGGCCGTGTTGGGCGCGTCTTGGGAGCCTCTTGAGCCGTCTTGAGGCTTTCTTGGGGGCCCCTTGGACCGTCTTCAACGCCGTGAAGGCCGACAACTCGTATATGCTAAAATTGTACGTTTTCCGATGGCAAATCAATGATTGTGGCCTTTTGGGGCCTTCTTGGGTGTGCTCTTGGAAACTTCCTGGGACTTCTTGGAAGCTTCTTGGACTGTCTTGGGGCCATCTTGGGCGTCTTGGTCTGATCTTTGGGCCATTCGGGGCCCTCTTGGGCCATTTTGGGACCGTCGTGGACCTCCAACAGTTTGTGTTTATTCTTAGAACAGTGATTACCCTTAGGGGTTCTTACTTCTGGTCTAAGGAACTGGGCCTGGATGTTGGTTTGGCGGCTCCGTGCTTGCCGTCGTCGCCCCGTCGTCGCCCCGTCGTTGCCTCGTCGCCGCCCATATTCTCAGCCTGGCTGTTGGTCTGGCGGCTCCCTGCTCGCCGTCGCCGCCCTGTCATCGCCTCGCCGCCGCCCGTTATCTTGGCCTGGCTGTTAGTCTTGCGGCGGCTCCGTGTTCGCCGTCGCCGCCCCTTCATCGCCTCGTCGCCGCTCGTTATCTGGGTCTGGCTGTTGTTCTGGCGGCTCCGTGCTCGCCGTCGCCTCCCCTTCGCCGCCGCCTCGTCGCCGCCTACCATTGATTGCACAGCATACATTGCACCGTGTGGATTCTCCCTTCCTAAAAGAAAGTGAATTCTAGACGCTTCGCGTATCCCCTCCAGATAATTATCTTCGCTCAGCGCCCCGAACGTTGCCCCGCTTGTTGACATTAGTCCTGGAGCCGCCGACCAAAAGAAGTATCTCCACCAGCCCTGTGCCTGTTGTAGCTAATTAGCCTCGTTCGTGCCCCGGACTTTGCTTTTGCCGCCTGACCCTTTTCTCGCCGCCGCGACCAAAAAAGCGTATCCCCACCAGCTTGGTGTTCGACTTCGGTGGCGCCACCACCCGCATTTGCTGGACCGAGGTGGGCATCCCGGGCAGTCCGTACACCGGTTTGCCATCACCTTGGTCACATCCTGGTGCTATTGCGCGCCATTTTGGCTGCGCTCCAGCTTCGGTTGGTCAACTCACGCGCACTCAATTCGTCTACCTGGTGGTTCAGGCCTCCACGGTTCAGTCCACGTTGGCAGCCTCTGCAGTCCGCAGCGGTTGATTAATTCTTTGCAGTTCAATTCACACCCGGCAGCCTGCAGCCCCTGGCAGTCAGCAGCACCTGGCAGTCTGCAGTCCGTTTGCACGTTGCCGCATTTTGCACGTTAGCAGCCCCTTGCAGTCAGCAGCCCACAGCCCCCCCCCTCGGCTTCTTCCTGGTCCTGGGCTGAGGCTCGGCGGTAGGATTGCTCGCGCTAGGTAACTTAGGCCCTCGCGCGGCCCGCTCGGACCTTACACGCCGTCGGCGCCAAACTCCGAGTAAAACAACTGATTGTTGGCTTCTTCGCCGAGGCCTTTTTGGACGCCCTGACACGTCGCGACCCCCCCCGTCCAGGTCCATGGGGAGGGGGAAAGGGGGAGGGGTAAACCGCTCCCCGAAGGAGAATAAGGAGGGGTGGAAGAGAAAACGCTCCAAACCACCGACGCCCAGAGGGCTGGTGGGATGATACCCCCATCCCCCCCCGGACGTATAAAGCTGGCCTCGCGCATTGTAATTTACATATGAGTACGCCTCCATGTTTATTTTCCGGCGGGTTCAACACATCTTGGGCCAGGGTCACTTTTGACAGCACCCGGCCCCCTTTTGCAGAGCCCATCCTAGGGCCCAGTTTTTTGCTCCCGAGCCGATCCGATATGCCTACCTTGGTTTCGATGTGCTTCCGCTTCGATCCGCTACGGGCTTCGCTGGGCCCGATCCGATTCGACCTCTATCCTCCAGCGGTCCGATGTCGCCGAAGCCTGCGCGGCGCGAAGTTGCGTCCGATCCGGTCCGGTGTCGAGTCCCGGCCAGTGCCACCCGATTCGATGCGCGTTCCGATGCCGCCCAGGTTTTCTCAGAAGAACAAGGGGATCATGATGATGATACCTTCCAGAATTTCCTGGCGTTCAGAGATTACCGAACATTCCAGACATATTGCAGAAACAAGGGCCGATATTATATTCTCTGTCAGGCAGGCCTAGGGCTTAGGATGAGGACAAATCGTACCAGATCGTTCCGGAACGCTCTCGAACGGCCTCGGTGCCCGATACAGCCTCTTCCAGACCCGCCAGTGCTTTACAATTCATCCTCGTCCGGATGTGTCCTCACCCTGCCTCGCCTCACAAATCGCACGGCATGTTTCTGGTCTGATTGATCGGCCTGGAGCAGACTGTTTCTACCCTTCCCCCAGAACCGAGGTCCAGCTGATCCGCGGGCTTGGCTCCGTCAGCGACAGGCAGCTGCCGCCACAGCCCGCGGGGGGGCGTGTCAGCCACTGGAGGCAGCCAGGGCAGCCGGGTCGACCGGAGGCCCAGAGGTCGTCACTCACCGATGTGTTCCCTCGCCCCGCTGGCCCTGGCATCCGACGAGTTTTTCTCGTCTCGCTGGTTTGGGTATCCGACGATTTTTCTGCCAGTGTTCTTGTTCCTCGATCTCGGACCTCGGGGGCCGCCCTCGGGCCCTGGGGCAATCAAACACGAGCCCAGGACGGAAGGCAATCCTGGGGAAACGTTCTGGACCTCGGGGGCTGCGGATTGGAAAAACAGATCGGCGCGTGGAGGGAAGAGGATCCCAATCTCAGTGATGGTGATACTCGGGCTTCCCAGGTGGCCGAAATATTATCTTTCCCACAGCGGAGGCAGCCCCCCAATGTTGTCGGGTGTTGCGCAAGAGGGGCTCTTGGGAGGCTGATAGAAAAGGGTGCACTTTTCTCACACCTCAGGGGCCCGAACGAGGCACGAAAGAAGCACGTTTCTTCGCCTCCCCATTCCCAGACCTCCGACGTCATGTTTTTGATCATGATGTCGACCCGACCCGTTCTCTGGGACCGTGTTCTCTTCCCGAGTCGTTTTTTGACCGTCTTGGGGCCTGGCGAAGACCCCCAGAGGCCGAAAACCGCGCCAACGACTCCCGTCCTGATGTTTTCACGACTCGAGCACGTCTGGGTCTTCGCCCCCCTCAATTGGGCGGCGCCCGGTGTGGGTGCTGGCCACCCTCGGAGAAGGGCCCGCGAGGGCACCAGCGCCCCGCGGGGTTCGCGCGAGGCAGCAGTCCTGCGCCTTGCCTGGGGACGCGGCCACGGGGGATGGAGGGGGCGCGTCCTCCTCTTCCTCCTCCTCCTCCTCCTCCTCCTCCTCCTAAGCCTCCTCCTTCTCCTCCTCCTCCTCCTCGTCCTCCTCCCCCCCTCCGTCTCCCCCTCATGCCTCTCCTCCTCCTCCTCCTCCTCCTCCTCCTCTTCCTTCTCCTCACTCGTCGCCATAGCTGGACGAGAGACTCTCTGGCACGAGGGCGGTTCCCTCGGAGGGCCGAGAGCACTGGGGGCGCCCGGGTTGGAAGAGCCACGTTGTCGGACACTTGGGGGGGGGAGGGGCGGGGGGGAGGCAGGAGGAATTCGTAGACGAGGCGTCCTGCGCAGGGAGCGAGGGCGGACGGAGTCGTGAGATGAGGAGGAGGAGGAGGAGGAGGAGGAGGAGGAGGAAGAGGAGGACTGCGCAAAGGGGATGGAGGAGGTCACCCCAGAGATCCGAGGCTCCGAAAAGGTGGGGGACGCGGGCCAAGGGGGGTAGGACGCGGGGCAAATGGGGGAGATCAAGGAAGACACTGTTTGTGTCGAGCCCTGGGTCGAAGTCTGAAGCCGAAGGTGCCCCTGTCGACCAGTTCGGGTGGGCACAGCGCCGGGACCAGCGCCGCGGCACTGGCCTAGCTTGGCACACCGAAGCGAATTAGACAGGTGCGCACGCGAACGGAATAGGCGACCTTCGGCACGTTCCCCCCCCCCCTCTCTCCGAGGCTCCAAAAAACGATTGGAGCGGCAGGGTTTGTTGCCATCTTCGGCCTCAGGGGACCCTCCCTCCACGGGTCCTAGCACAGTAAGGATTATTCAGGACAAACAAAATTGCTCTATATGGAAGTGGTCCAGACATCGAGGGGCATCGAACAACATTGAAGCGCCGGATGTCTCGGACGGCCTGGACCATGAGATCTCCCCGGATTTCACTGCTCTCTTTTTTTCTTTCTTGACGTCCCCTGCTCTCCCTTTGTCCGCGCACGCGCCTCCTGCCAGGATCTGCGAGCCCCTCTCCCGGACGCCCCCGACTGTTGGGGGGGGCAGCTTTAGGTCGCGGGACGCGAGGGGCATCGGCGGTCCAGAATTTGTTTGGGAGGGCGAGAACGAGAGCCCTGAGATTCGACGCTGCGAGAAAAAGAGCATCGCGAACAAGCACGACTGGAGCCTTCGACCCAATCTTTCTGCTACATTTTTCAAGGCGTACCGATCCGCGACGGCCCCCAGGACCCCAAGCTGGAGGAAGACGCCCGGTGTGAAGAAATTGCACCGCCCTGGTCCCAGGGGAGGGGGGTGGGGGGTGAGGAGGCGGCGGCTGCGCTGTTGAACGCCTGCGCGGGCAATGCCGTTCAGCACCACCTGCAGGTGGCCCTGGCCTCGGGAGATGAGATTTCCCGCCACGACGCTGCGCTGAAGGGTTGCTGGGACAGCCTGCTGAAACGGCCGCTGGATCCCGGAGCCTGGAGGCGTGCCAACAGCTGGGCTTGCCAGCCAAGCTGGGCGGGGCTGGCGCGCAGCTATAGGCCCCGGCGGGCTGACCCTTGCCCCCTGGGAGTGGCCGCCGTCTCAGACGGTCGGCCACCCCCGTGGTCGGCCACCCCTGTGGGAACCGCCCAGTTGTTATGGGGGCGGCGGAGGTGTTTGCTAGCTCCCGACCACCGAGCACTGGCGCGCGGCAGACCCGCGCCGCCTGTGGAGGAGGAGGAGGGGGAGGAAAAGGAGGAGGAGGAGGACGGGAGGAAGAGGAGTATTGATATGAAGAAAAAGAATAAGAAAAACAAAGAGGATAAGGAGGAGGATGAGGAAGAAGAGGGGGAGGCGGAGGAGGAGGAGAAAAAGGAGGAGGCGGTTGAGCAGAATGAGGAGTAACAGGAAGAGTTGGTTGGAGGAGGAGGAGGAGGAGGAGGAGGAAGAGGAGGAGGAGGAGGAGGAAGAAGAGGAAGTAATTAGGTTGAGGAGGGCGAGGGGGAATCGGACACGAGGAATTGGAGGGGGAAGATGAGAAGGAGGAGGGGGGCGGGGATGTGGAGGTTCCATTGAGGGGGGGAGGAGGGGGCTCCCACGAGGAGGAGGGGGGGAGGAGGTTGAGCCAGAGGAGGAGGAGGAGGAGGAGAAGGAGGAGGAGGAGAGTGAGCAGAAAGGAGTTTGAATGAACCCTTGATGAGGCAACCGTACAGATACCCCAAAACATCGGTGAGGGCAGCCGGGCGTTTCCGCGAGCTCGTTCGCCATGCCGGCGGAGGGGGGGTGGCGGCGTGGTGGATGAGGACGCGCGCGTCGACCGGTGATGCGCGTTGACCGCCACAGCTAAGTTTATTCGCGCCAGGCTCTCAATATTAAAGCGCGCGTGACAACAGATTTCAGTCAGCCATCAGCGTCGCATGTAATCCCAGCGACGTTAATCCCAGCGACGTTCTCGTTGAACATCGTGTTCAAAGTTTAGGACCATACCTTCCTTCAGGGTCCTTTTTATATTGGGTGGGTGGACGGGGGTTTTGACATGTTGAGACGGGGGGGGTTGTGTGTTTTTTGCCGACGCCTCTTGTTCTGATGGCTTTCCCCGTTCGCAGGCCCCTACGTCTCCCTTTTTGGTTGTTGTTCTTTCGCCGTTCAGTATGCATACACGCGGGTGTCTCTTTCCCACCAGGACTGTACAGCATAGATTAAAACCGTCCGACTAACGGTGACAAGGGTTGAGCAGGAAGAGGAGGAGGAGGATAAAGAAAAGGAGGAACACGTTTCTTCTTGTTGGAGGAGGAGGACGACGACGAGGAGGAACATGGCTAGCTGTCTTCGCGGCGCGCCGCGGCGCACCCGCAGCGGGATCCTTCGGGTCCGACAGATTCTCCAAGCATGGTTCCAAAATGGCACCAGCAAGGCCCCCATGATGGTCCCGAAATGGGCCCCCACACGGCCACGATAGCTCCGAGACGGTCCACATGACCTCTGGGCGGCGTAGGATGCCCCCGATACGGGCCAAGAGGACCAACCGTTTGGCCACTCTCTCTTTCTCTCTGTTATGCATATTTATATATATATATATACAACCATATTTGTACATCCGCATATCTATATAGTGTGTGTGCGTCTCTCTCTCTCTCTCTTTCTGTTTCCTCCTCCCTTCTCGCGAAGGAGAAAAGGAAACAACACAACGGAAACGACTAAGACACTGCAGCATCACATGGATGATAAGCTGTGGGAATTCCGCGCGGATCTCTTGGAACGGTGCTCGGCTCCCCGGGCCGCGCAGGGGGATCCAGCGCCGATCCAGGACATCCGCGTGGTCCTAAGAATGTTAATGCTGATACAGTCCGTTTTGCCTGTGCCTTCTCGAGGCTTGGGCAGTTTCACCCCTCTCGACTTGGGTTGTGGATGTGAAAAGAACTGGTACGACGGCCCACAGCCGTTTCTGTTCATTTCGGGCACGACTCGCTGTCGGTGCCCCGGGGATGAAGGCCGGCTGCCCACCAGCGGCCGTTGTCGGTTATGGACAACAGTTGCTGTTAGGCACCATCAGGCTGCCAGAGCCTCTTCCAACGTGGCCGATTACTACAGCGGCCCAGGTGCACCTGCCAGAGTCTCAGAGGAAGAGACGATACCGATACCTTTGCCCTTATTGGAGAGCCTCGTCGCCACGGCCGGATTCTCTCCGAAATTGTAGTCAGCATGCCCTTTTGGAGAGATTTGGGAGTTGTCTCCCCAACATCTTCCCAAGTCTCTTACGGCGCCAGCGGCACCGCACCTTGCGCGCTCCGCGCGCCAGGACAGTGTCCAGTGCCGATCCGAGAAATTCGCGCAGGATTCCGAAAGGTTATGTTTGTGCAGGGCCTCCTTCCTCTATCACGGAGTCGCACCCTTCATGAGGCCTCTGGCGGCACGCGAGGGCCCCAGGGTCAAAGTTATCGGTGGTTCTCCCAACATTGCTGAGCTTCAAGCAGGCATCTCGTGGGGCGGCCAGCAGGCGACATCCGTCGCCGCTGTCTATACATACGTGCGTGTGTAACTACAGCTGGTCGGTTTCCGCCCATCCCTCACAAAACAAGTAGGTCCTTTTGGCTGGCAGGTTCAACCCCTTGAAAAGCTCACCACTGCGGGCGGCGGAACGACGCAACATCATACGTGACATCATTCGCA